CAAATTCTTAACTCAAAATGTAGGCTGTTATGGCTGAGGGGAAGCAACATGCATTAGCTGTTGGAATTACAACATTGTCAACAGAAGATATGTAAGTAAAAAATATTTTCTTAATGTATGCTTTTAATCTCTCTCTTTCTCTCTCGCATATTTAATTTATAGCATATATAATTTGTAGCATCAAGGTGAATAAAGGAGTTGGCATCGAAAATTGTCATTATTTGAATGATGGACTTTGGCAAATGAAACCAGTGAAGTGAGACTGATTGTACTGAATTGTGTGAATTCAGGATATAATCAAAGAGCCATTTTGCATACAGATGTTTTTTTATTCAATTTTCTTCACCACCATGTAATCATTTCATATGGAACAATTTCAGGATAATGTTTGTGTCCACAGTGTTATGGATCGTAATAAAATCAAGTTTATTATTATATTTTTATCATATAAATTAAAAAATTACGAACAAGTCCTTGCTGGCGCAAGGATATAGAGATAAATATAGATATATCATGTAAACGCGAAAATTTAGAATAGCGTTTGTAAAATAAAAAATATTTAAGCAGATCCCGATTTAGCATCTACCTGGCCCTCTTGATTCTCCGGCGGACCGGAACGTTCGTTCTCACAGTGTCCTGCGGGCGCAGAATACGGAGGATTGTTGGTATCGGGCCCAGATGCGGGAGCTATGGCGGCTGTTGTGCCACCTACGACGTTGGCACCAACGTTATTACTTTCAGGAGCAACTGTATGAGGTGATTGTGGATGATAATGCGGACTGTGTGGGCTATGTGGACCATGACCATGTGGCCGACTTATCGGATGGGGATATTGCGAATACGGCTGATGATAATACGGATGAGTATATTGTGGATAAGGTTGATGATACGGTTGTTGCTGAGAATAGCTATAAGTGGGATGCGGCGGTCTTGGAGCTAAAGGAACGTTCTGCGGTTGTTGTGGGCCTGGTCCGGACTGATATTGCTGACCGTAAGCCTGATTAGGTGGCATCATCTGCGGAGCATGTGGTCCCTGCGGTGGCAAAATCTGCGTGCTCTGAGTTCCTTGCGCACTCTGATGTGGCGGCATTGAATGATTTGGCAACATCCCTTGTTGATGGGGATTATGTTGAATGGGTACAGTGGGTGTGGACACGTTTGGTGGCATGTTTGGCGGAGTCGAATTTGCAGTTGCATTTGCACTCGCAACTACTGCTGCGACTGCAGCTGCTGCCGCGGCTGTGGTAGTCGGTTGTTGGGGTGGCATCACTGTCGTTATTTGTGGCTGTTGTGACTGCGGTTGGGGTTGCGATGGTTGTTGTTGTGATTGCTGTTGTTGTTGTTGAGATTGTGATGGCTGCGGTGGCTGTGAAAGTATTTGATGCTGCTGGGGTGGTGGTGGCGGCGGCTGATGCTGCTGAGGTGGCTGTGATGGTGGTTGATGCTGCTGTATTGGTGGGAGAGATTGATGTTGCTGAGGAGGTGTTGGTTGATGTTGAGGCGGCGGTGGCGGTGGCGGATGTTGTTGCATCGGAAGCGTTTGCGTTTGTTGCTGATGCGGATGTTGTTGAATCGGATTAACTATATTGTTGCAATACATCCCAGAGTTAGTAGGGTGTTGTTGATTAACATTTTGTTGCACTGCTGATGGTGCTTCGATCTTAGTCTCAGTATATGGAGGTGACATTTTCTTATTCATTTCAACATTGGGTTTTTCAGCATTGCCAGATTTCTTCTCGATCGAATCATTGTCAGAGATCTGTACAAATAAGATGGTATTAATATTTCTTAGTACAATGTGTTAATATTTATGTGAACCATCTGTGTATTATTTAGTAGTATTATTACATCAGGCTGGCTCTCGTCATTAAGTGATGCGGGAGTTGGAGTCGGAGTGGAATTTGGAGTAGAGTCACTAGACGCTGGTCCATCCGAACGATTCTCTTCTGTTCCCTTTAGTCTTTCTCGTCTTAGAGCATCATACTGCCGTTCTACCATCTTGTTAAAAGTTTCCTCATCTACCGCCGGTTTACAATGCTGAAAGAAAGAATTATTATGTTTGCATGCAATATTATTCTCTTTAAAAAAATTATATACCTTTTTCAATTCTTCTTGAAATATTTCACTAGTTTCTATAAATTTACGTTTCTTTGCCTCAAATTTCTCTTCAATTTGTTGCAATTCAGCTTCAAGTTTTTTCTGGAAATATTCAAAATATAATATTTCGATACATTTAATTAGATATTAATTATAAAACATATTACTACATTAATTACCTGATGCATAGTCAAGGATTGTACTTGGCGACGTAAAACTTGCATTCTTTGAGTGGTGACTACAGAGCGAACATCGGGGACAACTGTATCGCTAAAAATCTCATTAATGAGCCGATGATTTCTTGTATAACGTGAATAAGCCACATGTTTCACAGAATATCCATCATCTTGATCTATTAATTAAAACGAGTACTATTGTAATAGATATGCATTAAACATTTATAATCACTATTACTTACATACCATCATCATCTTCAGCTGGTAAAATATCAATCCTTCTATCCTGAGCCGCTTGACTTTTGCTACTGCCTGATGAACGTTCATGACTCTCTCGATCATCATTATTTTGTTGTGCAGCACACAACGCTGCATTAAATACAAAGATATGTTATAAAGTTATTTAATCATTATAGGTTTTACTACGAGTTTTAAATCCATGTTTGTTACACCTACCAGACTTGCCACGATTTTTAGCTGCAATATAAGCTAGATATGCAGGTGAGTTATGATAAGTTTTCAAACTTTTTTCATATTCCACCTATGTTAAATAATATGTGAATGAGTCAGTAATTTTTAGAATTATATAAAAAGTAGAATGTATTTTGTGTACCTTCTCAGTTTCGTATTCCTCGATGAACTCTGTCTTATCCTCCTCTGGCAAATCTCTCCACATTTGCCCAATAATCTTACCAATCTCCCATAGCTTTAACTCAGGATTCTGAGCTTTAACCTGATCCCATACCTTTCTACTGTACCTCATGTATGGCATAAGAGGTTTCTCTGGTGGCTTGGGTGGTTTTGGCATACGGGAGTCAGCCTAATTATAAATATTATTAGACTTTAAATAATAAATCTTTTTAATAATGTAAATTAATATACTGATATAATATTTTGTATAATCTATCAGTTGTGTATATTTTTAAATTTTATATAAAGTAAAATACATACATTAGTATTCTTTCCAACTTTCTGGGGCGTAAATCCTGGATGACTATGGGGAGTTTGTATAAATGGACTCTGCGCATCTTTCTAAACATAAGCAGATTGCCTCAATTAAATTCAAGACTCATACAAGAATATTTTTATCATAAGTTTGTCTACTTACACTATTTGTTGAACTGCTCGAACTTCCACCAGATGCTCTCATACGTTCTACAAACAACAAATATACAGTTTAAATGCTTCAAAATTTAATTGTCCAAGTCGGGAAGAGAACAAAAATTGTTCGACTTACGGTTGGAGGCTACGATGTTCGAGGTAGCCATCGCGACTTGCTTGTAATTCGCTGGCAGTGCCATTTTGTATTATGACACTTGAATAAGGAAAAAACCTTCTGGGGAAACAGAGCAAAGATCTCTGTGAAGTATTTCTGACGTTGACGCTGTCGTGAGTAGCACTTGTCGCTCTCGGAAATGTTTAGAGGCGATACTCGCGATTAAAGTTACGATAAGACCGACCGATTGACAGGCGTCGCGACCATTGACGATGCGTATGGGTTGGGAATAAGCTTTCGAGAGATTCCCAGATAGCCTCGAGTCAATAATTTGCAACGAGACTGAACGAAACACGCGAATATCCCGACACACCTCCAAGAGATTTCGCGGGAACTCGTGGAAGAAAAGAAAGAACAAGCGTTTCTTGTAGACGTCTCGTTTTTCTTCAATTTCTTACACCTTGCATTCGTGAAATTCACCAGAGTCGCCCTCTATTGGAGCTAGAAACAGAATCCTGAGAGCAGTGAGAGAGGCCATGCCCGGGATTTAAGGCCTGTTCTTTTTAGCTGAATTTTTGCACCAGTTTATTTTTCTTCTTTTTCTCTCCAGGACAAAAAAAAGAGGAAGAAAAATGAACTGGTGCAAAAGTTCAGCTAAAAAGAACGGGCCTTTTATTTTGAAATGTCTCTATGTTCACAAAATGTGGGTATTATTAATAACTATGTAGCCATGTGTCTATGATCCCGTCGATAATGTCCACAATTTTGGTTCTATTCTACACTAGGTCCATGATCAATATCCATTTATCGACATTACGATTTTATCAACGCAGTGTTGAAAACAGTGTGATACATAGTTCATATAAATTAATAAAATTGATGTTGATGCCGCTAATGCATAGCGATTTCCGAGGTTCCGAGCATATCTGATAATCCGACTATTCGATCCGAGCGATTTATGCGAAAAATGCTGGGATGGTCTCTCATGTTTTTCTCTGCTTCTGCAAAAATAATCAGAAATAGTTGTATTTATATAGGTATGTAATAATTGTTAGAAATCTTTTTTCACGAATGTTATTTATTAACCTTGGAAAGAAATCAACATGATTGATACAGGAATACATAAATGATGTAATTCAAATATGTAAATATGAGACTAATATAGAAATCCTTTTTTGACGTCTATCAAAGATCGAAAGTTGTGTAATTCAAATTAGCACATCGTAATTGTAGATCTTTTGGATGCCTAATTTTGCTATGTAACGCTATAATTTAAACTTTGCGATATGTATCTTTAAAATTATTTTAAAAGTATTTATTTAAATTATTTATTTTTAAAATATATCCCTGACATATTAAATCTAAAAATATTGAGGGACACAAAACATTATGGATTGTGTATTTATGCTCAATTAGGTTAAAATCCAATAGAGTAGAATTTAAAAAAAAGTATCCTTTGTTTTTATTTGGGAGCCTTGAAAATCGGAGCTTTATGAAGAATATAAGTTTCATAATTTGATAAAGTAACTTTATTAAATTTGTACAATATCTTTCTGCGGCTGTTTTGCATAGGCAGTGCTTCAAATGATTATACGCAATCTGCTAAAAAAAGATTCTTCTCTGTTTCATCTAAAATTTATTCTTATAATGTCGTTTATCCGAAGAATGTATCTTCCTAATCATATTCTGATCGTCAGTATGTATCATAGATAGATCAAGAGATATATTTAATTTGTATACAATATGTCATAGATTGGTTTCGGCAGGTAATGATTGCACAATGCCTGTATTCTTTCACTGCGCGTCACAGGTGTGTACCGCCGCATCGGGAAAGTCTTTACTACAGCATCTATTAGAGTTCTCGTGACAGCTGTTAAATCAGCTTCTGGTCCTTGGGTGTACTTTTCCAGAGCCAGCATTTCTGCCTGAAATAGTTCCTGACCGTATTCCTTGCGAGTTTGAGGATCCAGTTGAGTCCACATGTCTCTGGCTTGCTCGAGCAGCGCAGTGTTATCTTTCAACCATGCATTACCAGAGACGTATTCTCCAGTCTCGACGATCACAACGTCGACACCCCATCTCCGCATTTCCAGTCTTAGGCACGATCCCCAAGCTTCTACAGCGGCCTAAGATATATTTATAATCTTCTATTGATCTACTCAAGCTTCATTAATGTCCTTCCAGTCTTATGATTATATGTACAAATAGACAAGCCATACTTAACTATGCGCATGACAAAGAGGATTTACCTTAAGGGCACAATAAATGCCTCGGACGGGACTCGGTATCCGCGCCAGAAGGCTACTAATAAGAACGATTCGGCCCTTTGATCTCCTAACCAGAGGAAGAAATACCTGTACAAAGAAAGAAAAAAGAATATTGCGCGTTCTGACATTTTTATAATGTTTTACAGTACCTGTGTTAAACGCGCTAGGCCAATGAAGTTGATGTCTATGCTTCGCTTGAGAACAGATGGGGGCACCCACTCGCATTCCCCGAGAGTCACCCAAGCAGCAGCATGCACGAGTGCCCACAATCCTGAAATAACGTAGCAACGATGACGTAGAAGTAATCCGTTACACCAATAATCTCAGGAAGCTTTAAGAGATAGGGCGATATACCAGGAGCTCCGTCAGGCAAGTTTTCGTTGACGTAAAGGAAAGTCGAATGTATATCACGTTCGCTGGTAATATCTAGTTGTAACACGTGCAATCTTCCAGACGCATGGTCTTTTAACTTCTGCATGATATCTTCATTCTCGGCTTTGTTATTGAATCCAGCAAATACAGTGAAACCCTTAAAAAGAGAGAGAGAGAGAGAGAGATCACAGATGTTGTCTTTAAATTATTCAATTGGTCATACGAGCATATATGTTTTCACGTATAATTACCAAATCATCTAGTTGTTTAACTAAAGCGTATCCAACCCGCGAATCGCAACCTGTGATTAATACTGCCTTTCCTGCTGCAGTAACCTGTTGCATCAAGTAGACTATTAGGAAAACATAGTGTTTATAATTTATTGAATCATGAACTGATGTAATGAAGCTTTATAATGCTTTTGATAATCCATTGAAAGCCATTGATCGGGCGATGACGATCTCAAAGTCCTTTGTAAAAAAAAAGAGAACTTATGAAGCAGGAAGTATGGTAGGCAGTGATAACAGGTGCGTTATGCAACGTTTGTTAAAAAAGGTCAAAGGTCTCAATCAGGCCTAGTGTAAAATTCTATGAGAATTCTGATATAGAGGGCCTTTGAACTTTCAAATGTTCACAAGCATATGACATTATAAAAGGTTGAGAAGGACATATGATTTTCATTATAGGAGTGCGATATGATTAATGTAATTTTGAAGGTCAGAAAGGTTTACAGTTTTTTATGTAGTTGTAGAAAAAGTTTTATATAAAATTATTGGGGAAAAAATGAGTAATGTATTGAAGATTTGCGTTACACAATGCAAATAGCTTACCTTTAGATTATGATAAAACAATGTGGATCCTATGGATATGACCAATAGCAACAAAAAGAGTACAAAGCTAGATGTCTGTGAGATCCCAAAGGTGTTTAATATAGTTGCCAGGATGACTGCAATTGCATGTGAAAATGCAATAGGTAATAGACATCTCTCTGCTAATTCCCATGTCTGACTATCGTCGGTTTCTTTGCTTCCATTCGACGGCATTCTTGATTCAGATTTTTGTATCAAAATTTTAACAAAACGTGATTGACTCCATTCGAATAAATTGATGTTGCTCACCGAGGAACCCTAACTGGGCTATGCCTGAGCTAACTTTAAACTTAAAACAGTATCTAGTCTCATTGACATCTAAATATAACTACAGTGCTGTGTCTTAAATTTAAAATCTCCTAGCGAATTGAAATATTTGAGAATCGAATTTATACTCTCAATAATTAATATTAAATTCTGCATTTCTTTGTAACATTACAATAAATAATGCAAGAATATATATATATATATATATATATATTCTTGCATTATTTATTGTAATGTTACAAAGAAATGAATTTGTGTATACGATAATTAAATTAATTTAGATTAATGATTTAAAAATATAGAACATATATACAATGTTACATATAAAATTTAATTTTATCATTGTAATGAATTGTGTTTAATTATTCTGTATATCATAATTCATTATTAAAATAATAAAAAGTATATAAAATTTTCTATTGTATTTTAAATCATTGTCTGTTTTTTCATGACATGTAGTTTTTATATTATAACATTTCAAAGTAGTGCAAAATAGTGAGAAGTTTTATGTCTATCTATTCATTCTTTAAATAAAATTACAAATATCCATTCCGATTTCGTATATTTATCTGAACATAATATATCTAGATATCGCAGATTCGCAAAATTATTTTTATTTTCAATCTCCTTCAGTTTTCAAAGAAGTGGATCGATTGACACGTGTCGTGAATTATCTCATCAATCTGTGCATTTTGCATCGGCCCTCTTTGGTGACGGTCGTGCCGGAGTATTTTTGTAAATTTCTCGTCGGTGCTGATAAAAAATGAGCGCGGCTGCGACTAGAGTGGGGTAAGTTATTGATTTCCGTGTAGGGGTGCTACGGCAGAGGGTTGGATGGATAGGCAGAAGTGGGTGGGGTAGATGCTGTGTCGGGGTGTCTCTCGTTTCGCGCGTATATACCTGCGAGAGAGTCTACAGGGGGTATAAATAGAAGGGGTAGTTGCACCGTTGACCCAGTGTTGGGTTGACACACGGTCAGTTCAGTCACTCAAGGCATCATATACACATCACTCTCTTTCTTTCTGTCTTTGTCGCGTCGCATAATCGCCGTTGTCTCCACTTCTATTCATTCTTTTTTATCCGCGTGAATTGTTGAAGAAGAAAGGAGAAAAAGGAGAGATCTCGCTCAAGTCCTTGTTGAGTTCTTCAAGTCAATCCAACGCAATCCTGAACACTGCCCTTTCATACCTGTTTGCTTCTTTCGAGCGATACAATTTTTTATCCGGGGAATCGTCGAATAGCGATACGACTGCAACCTGGGGCATAATCGTCAAGAGAGCTATTCTTCGATGCTGAAAAAATAAGAAACAGCGCCTGTACACACCGTGTTCATCATAATCGTGTTCGTTACATTTTTCACGCGTAAGGGCGTATTCCTTCCTCTGTCATCGTCGGACGCACGGGTCACTCGAATTTCCCCGACACATCGTCGAGACACGGACCAACTAATGTGCAACGAGAATCAGGCCTTAGCAGCAGTCAGTTCTTTTCAAGAGAATAAATCCTTTCTGACTTAAACAATTGTTGCTTAATTATCGTTGGGCGTCGGGGATTCCCAATATCGTGAGACCAAACAGAATTAATCGTCAACGATTAGTAGAGTTAAAATCTGTTCTCGTTCACCGATTGTGCAGAAGAAATATGTCGGAAACAACCGGAGTCACGCAAGGGGTGGGCAATCCTTACAAGATAGTTGATCACACCAGGGAGCGAAGAAAGGGTATCACCGCCTCGTCGTTGAAGGAGTTGACTAACGTCGCACGTAATCGACTGGCGTTTCCCGTGGATGCGGATCTTACGATCGTGCTTGAACAGGATGGTAAGGAAATATTCATATTACAACATACAGCAATTGTTAGTTCTAATATCTCTTCTATATTGGATATATTGTTTATATAAGGGATGAAGTTTTTTTCATTTTTACATGCTGATAAATATTATTACAGGAACAGAGGTAGACGACGAGGAATATTTTGCCACGTTAGAAAGAAATACAAGCTTGATGGTGCTGCATGGTGATCAAAAATGGGCCGCTGTGGGCAGCAGCAAGACAGCGTCTCGTTGCATCGTTGTGGATAATGTGGATAACGCCGAAGGTGGTTCAAAGGTCGATAAGATTCGACGACGGCGAACGCTCATTGAACCCCTGGTCTCGTCATTGCACAGCGACCCGTCGCATATCTCGCTCTTAGGAGGAACAGAGTTGGAAACACTCAGTGATATGGATCCTGACAGTTTAGGCGACATAGTGCCTGACAGGTAAGTAATGGACAATCAGAGTGACTTTGATCACTTGATTAATATGATCAGTTTAATATGATTAATTCGATCAACTTTTTAACTATACAATTCTTCAAATGTGCCAACAAAAAAAAACAAAAAACCATAAATGAAGAATCATTAATCATTAAAGTTGAAAATTATTGATAATTTACTCTTAACAAAGTACTACTTATTAATTAATAATTAATTAAATTAATTAGAGCTTGAAGTCACCTTTGTTATTTAAGATAATATATTTTCTACATTATCAAGACATTGCTATTGATACTTTATATTTAATCAAGTGATTGTCTTAGGACAGCATCATTAATTTCTCTGTTCCAATCTTGTTATAGACTCTTCCTCGAGCAGCTGAAGGAAGCTTCAGGTAGATTCTTAGTGGAGAAACGGCAAGCGCAGGAATCCATGGCTCTTCTCCAGATGTACGCGAGCGGTGGTGAGATGGAGCGAGCGTAGGCCATGTGGGGGGTGGGCGCCCTCACATTAGCAAATATGTATAGAGTGCGGCGTCGCATATTCTATAAAGGTCGCCAACTACAACAAACTCTGATCCTATTCTGGAATTGAGCCCGCTATTTACACAAACTGAGAACTGAGAGTAACTGAGAACAGACAAGCGTTAGTCGCTCAAGCTGAACGCAGCTGTGTCAGTGAGGAGAATCTTATGTTATCTCTCGCGTACGCGAAGAACACGCAGAGATAAAAACATTGTACAGAGACACGAAACACAAGTAGTTTACGTTCGCCCAACAATTTACTACCGTAACATCAATAATAATAATAATAATAAATGATAATAGTAATAGGTTTCGCATCTTAGAGGAAATAGTAACTCTAAGTTTTTTGTAGAATTTTTTTAATCTATATACATACGAGATTCAGTGGCACAACTATGCTTTGGCAATACTTTCCATCCTTAGTGAGCGTACGGAATTGCTTTAATACAAAATTCAAGAGAGATTACCTTGCTATACCGGCAGAAATATACACGTGCAATTTAGCTGCTAATTTGAATAATATATAAGAAAGAAAGCCGCGCGTAAGTACACATTTCAGAGTGGATATTCCCGTCGCGATATTGTCATATCAAGTCTTAGCGAAACGGGTTTTGTTTATGGGATTTTTGTACTTAGATATGTCATACTGAAATTTGGTTCAACGAAGATCGATGGAATATTTAAGACTGAATTTATAGAGAAAACGAAAACCACCACCATTGATATCATCAATTCATTGTACACTAACATTAGCGACATAATAGCGACAAAAAAAGTCGATATCAGTCCTTTGATACCAAGCAAAATTGTGCTATTTGATAAAAAAAAAAGAAAAAGAACACGTGGTAATCTGCAGCAAAGAAAGAACATAAGTGTTTCTGACAAGATTATGCATACACACTAGGTACTAAATATTATTCTAATTTTATGATTACGTAACCAATAATCTAAACGAACGATGCTATATTTACATTAATGTATTTTTTGAAAATTACGAAATCAAAATATATTATATACATTTACTATAAATTTTTTAAAACGAAAACTGTAACGAAAGTGTATGTCTACTCTCCGCAGAAATGCTCTATATCAATATCGTGACGTTCTTTAATATAAATATATATATATATATATATATATATATATACATACATACACACATATACATATATACATACATATATATACATACACACATATATCGTAATATATATAATCACCAGCCTCTTGCGCACTATAATCGCATTATACATATTTGTATTAGAATTTGTGCCACCACTCCGATTGAAATTTACGAAATGGTAGGCAAGACAATAGCCAGTATCGAACTATTTGCTATCTCACTGTATGATCAAATGTATCATTAAATATCAGGCGCAACGTTTTGTTCCACAGATCGATCTTAGGATATTAGTTTATAATAAATTGATGTGATTGATACTATTCTCGAGATAAACGAGACAACGCGTTGGAAAGTATAAAAAGGACGCATTAAATAGTACTGCCAGTTAAAGGGAAGATCGATTAATGCTCAATGTCCCAGATCTCAAAGAGGAAAGCGCATTTTTTTTTAACACCGGCATCTAATGCATGGTACCATGACATTATATACTAACAAAGGACGTCACACAACTGTCCGGTACCGATTTGATTCTCCGTGAAGTATGTTGTTAAACGCAAAAATCTAAGAGATACATTGGTTTTTATACATATGCTAACTCATTTAAGTTTAAGGGGTGAAACACTCCTTTGAAAAAAAAAACGGTATTTCTATTTCGAACCGAATATCGGAAGTATAAAAGATTTTTTTAACAAAAATACAGTTTCAAGAGTACTTCAATGCTGTGAAGAAAAAAAAATTAATTTTTTTCACAACTTTTTTGTTTGAAACATTTTTTTCCATCTTTTATACTCCGACGGTATTCGGCTCGAAATATGATTTTTTTGAGTTGACGCACGTATTAAAAAATGGAAAAAAATATGGAAAATCAAATCGGTACCGGACAGTTGTTTGACGTCCTTTGTAAGCACATACCTGTTACTCATTGCTACATGTATATCTTAAGAATAGAAATGCACTTAATAAGTTTAATAAAAGTTAAATTTTAACGGAATGCAAGAAGTTGTCGTCTATGAGTTGATGTAGAGTGTCGGAGGCATCCTTTACCCGACCAGATGCATTGCGTAATTGACACACAGCCTCTTGTAACACCAATTCACTTCTCAGCAGTTGTCGGTTAACAGCTGACAATTCTTGTACGCTGGTTGTGATTGCGCCCTCGGTCATTTGCAGAATGTCTCTATCCAAGGTTTCATTGCATTCGTCTGTTTAACATATGTCAATTTAAATGATGTTCAAAATTAATAAGCGATACGTATATACATATATATACATATATTGGTTTTGTGTTTTAAAATATAATTTAATGTCTTTCATAAATGCTGTTTTATAAGAACTTATAAAAAAATTCTTTGTACAATATAACTTATAGATAAACATTGTAATTATGCGAATGTAACTGTGTAGTAAATCGAAATTGATTTAGAAATACGAATCATTGGAAAATAAGTTATCGATATTCCACACATGAACAATCTCATAATACTGTTTAGCTATAGTTACGCACATTGTACTGCTGTAATATTAATAAACGAATGTTAATAAAAATAAAATTCGTAAATATTTTATTCAACAAGCTTGCAATACTTGATATTTTAATGAATAGAAAAATAAATATGTAATTAATTAGGTAATATGATTATAAATATCTTAAGATATTAAATCACTTACATAACTTTTTATGAAGTAAACTATTATACTTGATAGAACTTTTTTTAGATCTTGGTATTTTAAAATCTGTATAAGGAGGACATGCCATGGCATCTACCGCTCCGCTAATACTACTCAAACTTGTTAAATCTGTGAATAAAAATTGAATGTTAATTAATTCCTTATAAATTTAAAAAGAGTCAATAAAACTTACCATCATCAGATTCTGGAGCTTCGCCTGAGATAATGGTACCGCAGTATGTAGATGGTGTTCGCATTGTAGGGAATCCTAGGCCCTGCATATAATAAAATTTGTAGACAATACACTTTTTATGTTAACTGTATTAAATTAAAAACTTTTAGCATAAAATATAATATGTATATAGGTATATATATGTATATATGTATATATGTATATATGTTACACACAGTGACAATGTTTGATGCATCATCGTCAGACTCTGGAGCTTCTCCAGAAACAACTACAGCTTTTAAATCCATTTTTTAGGAAATATGATGTCTGTAATCAAATTTTCATAACACTGCAAATAAAAAAATATATACATTAATACACAAGTATAAAAGAATTTAAAGATATTATAAAAAGTAATTATCTTTCAATTTATATATTTGTTGTATATTTAATGTAATTTGAAAGATTTTCTTTCTATTTATCGTTTAAAATTTATGTAACGACATTTAAATCTACATACATACAATCAATTAGCTATCAATTAGCTATCAATTTGAGGTTAGTTATATTATTAGAAACATACACAATTTGTAAATTGTTATTTTTTACTGTCTCAATAAGAAAACAATACACATGATTTAAGACAACACGATCTTTTATTTTTTAAGTCTGTTTATAATTTGTTCTGAAAAATACTATTATAATTTTTTGTGCGACATCACTGAACCAAAGACTGCCAAAGACTTTCGGATATGAACTATAAACATCTTTTATTGATAACATTATCATGTACATTTTTAACATTTGCATTTAGCAAATAGAATATAATTATTAAAAAAAAATTATTATATTCTATAATTCTTATAATTAATATGAAATATGAATACATAACATATATATTTAACCCTAGCAGGCCATTCGGATTCTATACGATTTTTTACATTGTTGTAACTTTTTTATAATATAATTTGAAGATCCGGATTGAGGCGAAAAAAAAACTAACTGTCCATAGATATGATAAGCCTGCAAGCGTTATTCTCAATGTGAGAATGTATGAAAGTTTAAAGAGGGTACTTGAGACTCATACATAAACTAAGTTTTTGTCATTCTAAGTATTCCTTTATTTTTTATTAAATATACGTTTCGGATAGTATAAACGTAAGTTTACACGAAAATGTAGAACTGAAAAGAATTTATATTTATATTTCAATATAATAAATAGTAGAAATTTTATAATTTCTGTCAGTCTTCAAAGATCGCTCGGCCAGAGCGGTTTTATTGCTTTAGAGCAATCCTCTAAACTAAACCCTGATAAACTTAATTATACATAAGTACTATAATAATATTTATACATGTACAATCCTTTAGCTACCATTTTATATTGTTTAAATAATAAAATTTTATTTATTAATTGTAAACTTATGAATAGATTTTTCAAAAATGTCGATTTTTGATAGTTCAAATAATACTTTTTTGAGCGATTCATATCGTACTATTTTTTTTGTTAGTCCAAAGGGTCAATTAAAAAAATCGTATGGGTTTTTGCTTGAACATTAAATTTAAAAGTTTGGGAATTTTTTATCCAAAGTAGTCATTTTTTGTGAATTTTTCAAATAAAATTTCTTTGTAATTAATTGAAAATAAAATATTATTTATTTGATTCATATTTATCTGTTTTCGTTTGACTTTGAGATATAAATTTCACATGTTTTGAGCTAAAAAATACGTATTCAGTTCAGAGATATAGCGTGACAAAGTCGGATTTCACATACTCTGATGAGGCCGGGAAGGTAATCAAAAATAACAATGGTCTACTAGGGTTAATACATGTGTGTATGTATAATATATATTAAAAATAATTGATTTTGAATATGAGACTGAATATTAAATTGTTTTATATTTTATTACATATCTTATTTTACATGTTGAAAAAAAAGCTTATTTACTTTTTATTTTACATTTAAATATACTTTTATAATTTATCACATTATTAGAAAATAAAATTTAAATTAAGGAGACATTAATAATATCAAGAATATTACAGTTAATATAGATAACATCAAGAACAATACAGTTTTTCTTAATATATAAAAAAACTACATTATCCACGAAGAATATCTAATTCCTCAGGTGTGACGTGCATTCTTAATTCTTTCTCGCGAATCAGATCTTGAATTTGCGTGAGAAGTTGAGGCGCTACTTCAGCTGCATCTATGTAAATACTTCTTGCCCATGGACATTGAGTGACGCTTTCATGATAAATCTCTTCTCCTTTTTTCTCACATAAATTATGCTCGCGCAGAAGGAGCATATACAGTCTCCATAGCAATGGGCAACATTGTGTCGACGGTATTCTGAAAATAATTTTGTATATTTTATACATCATAATATTTATGCATTTAAGTTCATCTTATAAGGATTTATATTATATTATACCTGGAGAGTGTTAGATGAAAAGATAATAACTTATTTAGTGCGGCATTCATTGCATCATGATGATCAAGTTTCATTAGAAGACCAATACGTCTATGAGCAGCCAGACACATTGCTATGGCTCGCCACAATTCAATCTCGGTGCTTCTACTATTGAATCTCCAAGTTGGTAATTCACTCTGAAATGATAATTATTTTATAATTCTGTTATCGATTTAGAAACGTCCTATAGCAGTTGTTACAATTTCATTACATAGTATTAATGTATTTAATATAATTTTTACCTCTATTCCAGCAAATACAGATAAAGCATAAAAGTTATTCGGATATGTATTTAAAGTTTTGCTTAGGGTTTCTTTTAACACAGCCTGCATACTTTGAGTCCGCTCGTAATGTAATTGCAGAATTGCAATTTGACTTTCGTACAACATTTCCTGCAATGTTTAAAAAATTTGTTGTACAGAATTGTTTAATTTAAATTTATTTATTAATAATATTTAATCGTTCGCAGAATGTTAAATTAGTACCTGTAAGTAAGGATAATCCTTGGAATGATCAATGCAGTTCCTCAATGTGTTGATAACAGTTTGTATATCACCATCTTTAATATATAGAAAGTATGCATAACATACGATAGCATCACATTCTAAGTTCGACAGGAATAAAGTATCTTTTTCTTGTTCATTGGGAGGGACTTGCAGAAAATTTTGTACACACGAATATAAATATGCTTCAATCAAAGATTCTTGATTTTCGTTTTTGTTAGGTATCATTTGACCAAAGACTTTTAGTATCCAGGATCTGTGTGATTCGTTGTACGTTCTAATATCAAGCAAAGTCTCGATGAATGTCCTATATACATTAAAAAGTGCTGCTCTTTCACACATATTGATAATCGCAGATGGGCATGTCCCTTGAGATTGAATAGCGGTTTCAAGAATGTTCATACAGTTGCTGAATCTGCCCATTTCTAGTTCTATTAAAGCATATTCTTTATAGAAATACAAGTTATTTCTGTTTTCGTCCTTTTTTAAAAATTCTTTCAATGTTGCCCTCAATTTTTTTCCTCTGCAACAAAAAAATTGATTCATGTTGCATGCGGAATTAAAATTAGAATTTAGGTAAATATGAATCTTACTTATTGTCATGTTTTAAAGATTCATCTTTGCCGAGAGATACCAGTAATCTTTCTAATCGCAACCACCAGACATATATACTTGTCCGTTGTAACAAAGGTAGATTTTCCGCGATCGTATGAAATATTTTGCGTACAAAATCTAAATATGGTTCCTGTGCCGGATGAAACTTGAGATATTGAGGACCTGATGTTAAACGTCCTTCAAGAACGTCCTTCAATAATTCTTTCCTTTGATTATGACCAGCCATTTCACCTACCATAGGATACATAAATGGAAGTAATACTTCTAAAGATTCTACTCCCCAATGAAAGTTTGTCAATAATAATTCCTATAAAAAATATAAAAATTTTTTTTATATATTTTTATTAATTTATTCCTATTTCTCTGTAATCTCATTTAATAAATAAGATAATTTTACTTACTTTCATATAGCAATCACGACAAGGTAAAAGTGGTACTTTCAGACATAAAAGAGAATAAATAGCCATTTGAAAGTTTGAATTACGGGAAAGAATTGGATGTACAAAGTCTGCTACATCTTCTGGTAAAATAAATCTTCTAGAATCTCCAACTAATTCTAACTCATCCCTACTAACGCTAATCCAATGACAATTTTCTCTCAATGACTCAGTTCTTTGCCATAGTTGATTTAATGGTAATCGTGACATTAATATCATTTCTTCCATTCCAACTGAAAATTAGTATTATTATTTAGTACTATTAATAGCATATATTCCATATATTTTAACATTGCAAGACTCCCATTAAGTTCTTTTTGGAAAATTAATTATTAGGTGTTGGAATTAATTCGTAGCGTTTTACAAGTGATGGGAAGTACTTTCATTAATGTATTTTTTAATGCTCATGTGAAATAAATAACATTCTTTCATTAAAAACGCTACGAATTAATTCCAACACCTAATATAATATATATTTTATACTTATTGTATACGTAAAATATGTGTACGCATTTTTCACATTTACCTCTTCAATAATTATCATTAAGTTATTACGTAATGTCAACGATTTGGCATAAGTAAATAACTTGAAATACTTCCTGCAATTTGAATAATCTGTATAGAATAATCTTAACAGAAGTCTTTTATTGTAACTTACAATATTTAATATACTTACTTAATTTTTTTTCATCTATAGATCCTCGGAAGGATAAACTATTTTTGTTTAAGTTTAGATTCAAATTTAGATTTAAACGTATTGTTTCCCACATTTGTTCCCATAATCCCGTCTGTCTCAGGAAAATCAAGCATCGATACAGCATATCTAGACGAAATATCGAATTAATAAGATATGTGAAAGAAATATATTAGGTGTTGGAATTAATTCGTAGCGTTTTTTAATGAAAGAATGTTATTTATTTCACATGAGCATTAAAAAATACATTAATGAAAGTACTTCCCATCACTTGTAAAACGCTACGAATTAATTCCAACATCTAATATGTATAATAAAATTAAAGTGTTCATCTACTTACGCAGCAACTGTGCATCATAAATGGAAGGATTTGTTCTTGAGCGTTGTCTCAAAACACAGAAGCATTTTGAATATAAATCTAATACTCGGGGTACAGTACACATTGCTACTGAACCTTGTGTGACCATGATAAAGTGTTGCCACAGCATAATATTCCCTGAATCTTTATTAACTAACATCTCTAATTGATTTGATAGTTCATCAGACGGTGTCAACTCTGTCATAAAATGTAATTTTAATTTTAACAATTCCTTGGAATCTGTATTTTTCTCGAGCGCTTTTTCAACAATAGATAACTTTTTCAATACTGTAGATCGATGCATATCTTTAGTTAATTGGTGTCTTTGATAATAAGTCAAAGTATCCTGTAACATTTATATTAAAATATTGTTACATAATTTAACTTTGTATCATATACATTAAAACATAACAATGCTACTTGTAATCAAAATGTACAAAATATATTAAATACCTGAAAGTAAATATATTGCAGCCAAAGTTCAACATTATGTGGGTTTTCTGTTAGTTGTTCATTAAATTCTCGAGTTTTACATTTTTGCTCCTCTTCCAAGTTTTTACACCAAGAAGATATACTTTCGTTTACTTCATCATCTTGCTTCATTAAAGCCTCTTTCTCATTCGTTTTCTTGATAATTGTATCTTTTTTCTTCTCTGTTTCTGCAGAATCAATATTTTTAACATAATATCTATGAAACATGTCTTTCTTTGGTTGTTTGTTCTTAACATAACCAAGAGATTTTTCACTAATATCATAATATGGCCTCGCTCTGGGGCAGTATGTATTTATGTTATTGTTCCCTTTATCTCTATGTCTGTCTTCAAAGTATACATTTTCGACATCCAGCTCATAATCTGGTTTATATCGTTTACTGTCGTGCGTACGTCTTTTCCTATCTGTTCTTTGGCTTTTATCAATTTTCTGTTTTGCATGTACTTTTGTATCTCGAGAAATTGATTCAGATAGTACTTGCTTTTCTGTACTAAGCAAAGATTCATGTAAAGACTCGTCTGATGAAGAGTATAGGTCAGGAGGTTCTGTTTTAATTGGAATTTGTGTTTGAAAACTCGAGTTTGACAACCATTTGGTGGAAACATCTGAAATTAAAGCATACAATACAAATATCCAAAAAGTACACTAATTTTGAAGCGGAAAATAACGAAAAAATAATAATGTATTTTCAATTTGTCTTCACAATGTAAACATTAATCAAAAATTGAAATAATTACTTATATCACCACTGCTTGTACATTCAGTTTTATCGTTTGAATAAGCAGGAAAAAGAGACATTTCTTCTTCTTTTACTTTTCTTCTTATTCTTTTAAGCGGCACAAAAATATTAACTTTTCTTTCTAACCTCTATTCCCAGCAGTCAACTTACGATTTTCGCAGATCGGCAATCACGATTATTAAACAGAAAAAAGTATACAGTTTTACTGATAATCGATAAGAGCGATTCTTCTTTCAGTAGGTACTTACGATCTCTTCTATTACTAACCTTAGTTTGATCGAGTTGTTTCTTACTTCAATCGCTACGAGGCGATATTGCTGCAAAGCAGATTGAACAGCTGTTTCACAACTATTGCCTCTTTCTACCAATTAGTGTAATTCTAATCTCGGTTTAACGAATTCTTCATCTCTTTTTAGTTCTAAGAAAAAGATGGAGAGAAAGTTGAGATAGGTGATCTACATTGTAAAAGGACGGGACACATATATCATATGTGTCATCATATTATGTCAGCCATGTGAGATATCAGGTGATTCACGTGACAGGTGATTGATAAATGGCTGATGAGACAGAAAAAGAAGAGCAAAGAATTACTAAGAACTACTAAGTATGTTGTTTGGAGCGCGCAATTTAACTACGTTAGTGCTAAATGACGTAGCGTTCCCAGATAAAAATGAATGACAGTGCGCTAGATAAAGATAAAAGCACTGTTACAAATTCGTAAACACCGATATTACATAATTGTTTTTATCGCTCCAAGCTCGAAAAATAAATAATGTAGAGAAGGAAAGATTAAGGATAATCAAGGATATAACGTTGATTAGTGGAGTGTGGACACGCATAATAAAGATCTCAAGGAGAGATTGGAGGTACAAATTCCAGCCAGTGAAATCATTAGCAGCATCATTATAAACCCCCCCTCCATCAATCAGTGAGTGGACGACATAACGTTTCTATTTTTCTCTCCGTTTCTCTTTGAAATCTTGTCTTTGGAGCTGTTGATCGTACAAATGTTTCGAAGATGCAATCTTGTCAACCAGCTTCGCGGTGCAGCGAGAACATCGACGGAAGCTGCTGCAGTCGAGGAGATGCCATCTCGGGTAAGTGTCGTCATCGTCGCATCTGTCAGAGCGCGGTCTATTTTTAAGATTTGACATTTCTAAAAATGTTCGTCATTGATTTAATGAATATTTCGTTTATTACAGTTGCAGCAGCTCCGAGCGAAATTACGGGAAGATGAGCATGAAATACTCACAGATACATTCGGGCGCAAACATACGTATCTTAGGATTTCTCTCACGGAACGTTGTAACCTTCGCTGTGAGTCTTTTTAAAATTGTTTAAAGTATTAAAGTAGAGTTTACTAGAGTTCTTTTGAATTTGACGAATGTCATTTAACACAAAATATCATGTTTTTTAATATTACAGGTACGTATTGTATGCCTGCAGAAGGTGTGAAATTAACTAAGAAGGAAGGTATTCTGAGAACAAATGAAATAATACAAATAGCTGATCTTTTTGTCAAAGAAGGAGTGCGTAAAATACGTTTGACCGGCGGCGAACCCACAATTCGTAAAGATATCATTGACATCGTCGGTAAAATCTACTTTTTCAATGGAGATGTGCTTAATTAATTTAATATTGTGAGTCTAATTCAGTTTTCAAAATTTATTTGTATATAATTTTATGTTTTAGGACAACTGAAGCAATTGAGAGATTTGGATCAGGTTGCGATTACAACCAATGGATTAACTCTAACGCGTCAATTGCCAGCTCTTCAAAAAGCAGGATTGGATGCACTCAATATATCATTAGATACTTTGAAAGAGGAGCGTTTTGAATTGTTTACTCGTAGACGAGGCTGGGCAAAAGTTATGGCTTCCATAGATCTTGCTGTTCAGCTTGGCTATAATCCTGTGAAAGTAATTTCATTAAAAAGCTACATAAATTTTAAACATAAATTAGTGTATACAATATTTAATCAATGTGTTTGAATGGTTAGATCAACTGCGTGATGATGCGAGGCCGCAACGACGATGAAATAATTGATTTTATCGATTTTACAAAAGACCGGCCTGTCGATGTCCGTTTTATAGAATATATGCCGTTTCAAGGAAACCAATGGAAAGAAAATAAGATGGTTTCTTTCAATGAGATGAAAGCAATAATCCGAGAGAAATATCCCGATTTCCAAGCTCTGCCAAATCAGCCTAATGATACGTCCAAGGTTTGTTTTTTCTAATTGCTAATACTTTACTTGATAATTGAATTAATTGAAATTATATTGTATATAATGTTCTTTCGGCAGGCTTACCATGTGCCAGGATTCACAGGACAAATTGGATTCATTACATCCATGAGTCAACATTTTTGTGATTCGTGTAATCGTTTAAGAATAACAGCAGATGGAAATTTGAAAGTGTGCCTATTTGAAGGAAAAGGCGAAGTCTCGCTTCGAGACGCTTTGCGAAGTGGAATTTCGGAAAATGAACTTAAGGATTTGATAAGAAGAGCAATATCACGAAAAAAGAAACAACATGCAGGTATACTACGTACATATGTATCAATCAAAACGGAAAGAACGCGCGGTATTTAATAATAAAAAATAAAATTCTTTAATTCTTTTATTAAAAAATCTCAGTAAAAATATTTTTCATTATTTAAAGATATTGGTTTTTTGCTTTCTTCTTTCTTTCAAGTTTTTTTTCCTGTTATCTCTTTATTTATTTTAAAAACTGCAGCAGTATCGACAAACCGAATTATATCTGCTGTTTCAGGGATGTTCAATCTTACTCAAATGGAAAATAGGCCAATGATACTGATTGGAGGTTAATTGATCGTTATAATTAATTATTAAAATACATTCGGATTTGTCGAAACGCGCACAGACATTATCGCAAATTGTTAACTATAATAATTGTTAACTATAATAATTGTTAATTATATTAATCGCAATATATTAACAATGTCTTTTAGAATTAATTTTACAACATATTTACATTGCAGCAAAAAAAAATCGCAAGGAGAAATTTCTTTGCAAAATGAGTAATACCATATCGATGCAGTACAAATATTTTCCATATATTTCTAAGTATCTTAAGAGTAATGCAAGTATTAGAATGTATTCGTCGTTATCACATATAGATGAGACTGGTAAAGCGAGTATGGTGGATGTCGGATTAAAAAATGATAGTAAACGCGTAGCGATAGCAAGGGGATTCGTGAGAATCGGTCCTGTCATCAGTAATTTAATCGCGGAAAATAATGTAAAGAAGGGCGATGTGTTATCAGTGGCTCAATTGGCTGGTATTATGGCAGCGAAACGTACCTCTGATCTAATACCTCTGTGTCATCCGCTTTCCTTGTCTTATGTAAACGTACGCTTAAAATTGAATGAGGAATCGCACAGAGTCGAAATCACATCGGAGGTTAGATGTTCCGGCAAAACCGGGGTCGAAATGGAAGCTTTAACCGCTGTGAGTATAGCGGCTCTAACAATCTATGATATGTGCAAATACGCAGCTAGTCCTGGCACAATGGAAATATATGGTATAGAATTGGTGTCGAAAATGGGTGGTACAAAAGGTGATTTTACAATACATAAAACGTAGACCGATATCTTTGTCTTGACGATAGCATGAATTATTATTGACAGGAAGATTTTTATTCTGCTGTGAATAATTAAATAATATAGAATTGTACAATTAGTACAATTTTATATGTATCATTCAACTTGGAATTTTACAAAGATTCAAATATGTCTAAAGAAAGATCGTTAATGTGTTTAGATTACTTGCAATATTTATCATATGCATAAAATTATTAAAATTTTATATGGTAAGAAGGAATAATTATATTTTACGTATATATGTATATATAATGTCAATGAAAGCATTATTACATCTTGCATACTGTCAATTTTCAATTCGAATATTTTTATAATTGTATATCTATGATTAATCAAAATATATTTGTTTAAATAAAAAGGATAATTTATCACACAAATATTATGTATGACATGTTAGAAACATGTAAACAATTCATACGCATTGTCGTGAAAGCCGCAGAAGAGAAATTAGGAGCAGAGTATAATAAGAGAGAATAAAACACAATGGTGCTTGTATTGTTGTACCTGCAGAACTATCTTCCGACTTGTGGCTTTTAATAAGTATTTAATATTACCGTGCGGGGATGAACGCAGGGAGATAAAAGCGTTCGTTGAAGAAAATATAAAGGGGTCAGTAATATGTAAGCGGTAAGAGTTATCTGCTAAAAGTTATCTTATATTACAAGTTACAAATGATTCATATATTTATATTTTTTTTAAGAATATTACGTTGTTGAAAGATTGTATTGAAATATATTGTTTAATATACAAGAGAAAGGAGTTTTCTTGTGTGCGCGCGCGCGTGTATGTGTGTGTATATATATATATATACATTCGTTCCCTTTATTTTCTTATTTATACGCAAGAGGAGATTGCTTTAGAAAAATAGCGAATACGCCGTAAATCGCTTTATCCGTGAACATATCCGCTTTGCGAATGGATAGAAAAGATAGGTAAGATAGAAGCTCGGCGCTTCGGGGTGAGATGTGTGTATGTACGTCGATCGCTCCGGTAAATCGTGATAACGTACGGCCGCGTTGTCGCGGGACTCGGGACTCGGGACTTTGGGAGTCGCGCGCGGTCGCCGCGCTGCGCCGGGATAAATACATCTCGCCGGTTAAGGGAGATCGCATCCGATGCCGGGGACCTCTCGGCGCAATCGCACGTGCCCTGATGGAACGGGCACGGCGCCACCGTGGCAGGATTTCCGAGCTTTTTCCCATCCCCCGCGAGGAGCGAAATTCAGTGCTCAGCCCGCAACCGTGTCGCACTACCCCTGATCGCTTCAACGCTCCCTGCGATCGCGCTCGAGTCGCGTTGAGTCGCGTGGAGATCAAAAGGACGAGCGTGTCGTTAGCGATTGTTAATTTAATTAAGCGATCTCTGAAGACTACTATATTTTTGTTTTTAATATAATTTTCAACAACAATAATTTCCAATTAAATTAAATTCTGATTAAAAAACGTAAGATATCGGCTATAATTATGGGGACGATCTTCCGATATTGAGAGAACGGTGAAAACGATCTCGGTTCGCGGTAATGTGAAAAGCGAGGACACATCGATACGAGTGGCAGTGACGGCATTATGCCAACGATCGGTGTGATCCCGCGGGTGTTTCACTCAGCAAAAGGGCCGCGAATAGAGAGCGATCATTCGGATCGGACGGTAGTGGGCAGGTCGCTATCGGACGCGGAACAGCGTGGCGCGTGAATTAGATCGAGAGATGTGCGCGAAGTGAAAGATGGCCCCGTTCCACGGCATGGCCCTGCTGCTCCTGGGAATCGGATACCTGTTACACGCGGAACCACTTCACAGCGAACGCGGCATCGGTAAATGTCCCGTGCTTCCTCCCCGACCCTTCCACCCCTTCCATTTCCAGAGAACCCTCTTCCGGCCCCGGCACCCTTTTGTGTTCGCAGCTCTGCGCTGCGCCACGTAATTTCAGTTGTACTCCAAGTAATTTTGGTCGCGCGAAGAGAGTGCACCGAGAGAGAGTGGCGTAAATCATTTTTATTATTGAATTTTTCCCGCTGTTGAGCTAAGAGGATAAAATCGAAATATCCTGTTCGTAATACATTTCAGAAGAAAATAAAACTATCCAAATTTAATAAAAATTTGATTTCACAAAATTAAATTTTTTATTCAGCCTTTTTAAAATAAAAGTATGACAAAAAAAGTATAACTCTTTTATATTTATTTTTTAAAATTAATTTTAACCGCGGAAAGAAAGTTTGCATAAACGAATTGAAATTCGCTAATGATTATATTTAATTCTGTATAATTTTATAATTCTTATTCTATATTTCATGTTTTCTTTCAATTTTGTATTTTTTACATTTTTTTCATTTTTTCCATCTTTGGATTTTGTAGTACAGATGAAAATAGGAAATTAATTAATCACAATTAGTATTAATTCAAGATTATATTTTTTTAGAGTTATAAGTTATAAATATTTACTTTTATTCTCAATAGTTAATAGGTATACATGTATTTTTTGAAGCTAGAAGAGAAATTAACAATTAAAGCGATTGAAGGGTCTATAATCTTTAACAAAAAATTGTAGAGAATATAATTAACAATTCTTTTTTAGAGAAAATGAAATTTAAATGAAAAATTACGATTAAAAAATAAAAATTATTACAAACATTATTTATTTAAACATATTTTTTCAATTCCTGTTTTTTTAATATAATTTTAGTGTTTTTTTTTCACAAGAGTAGTACAATATATTGTGAATTCATAAAACAACAATAGTAATATTATTAATTTCTCAAGTCTATTAAATCACTGTTTTGCTTTCCAAAGTTACTTAAACTTGATGTTCTTACTATCATACTATTATACAATATATCAAGAATAATATAAATTCGTCATTAAAAATATATTCATGCATGTTATTTTCCGTTAAAGATATTAAAATTTTGAAATATATTAAATAAATAAAAACGCAAGCCAAATTAAATATGTACGTAAAATCTGCGATTTTTATTTAATTATCTAATATGACGTGGTTATTTAATATTAATTGTACTTTTTAAAAATGATTATCTACGAATGTGCAAATGTAAAATAAACTGTTCATGCATCAATATTCCGTATTGAAAACATTCAGATATTTTTTATCGGAGACTTCGAGCTCATTTTTTAAAACCGCACTCTATAATTCTTTTCTACGAAAGAATGTCACTGACAGGGAGAATAATAGGATGTCAACACATAGTTTCGTATCTATTTCAGCGCTCTTTCATCTCAACGACGACACGTTCGGCAAAGGGGAAAAGTCACAGCGTGGCCCAAAGAAGACCTATTTTTTCAAAGACACGCCGCAAAAATTAACGGTGGCCATAGGACAGGCCGCCGTTCTATTATGTCGTGTTAAAAATCTAGGAAACAGAACTGTGAGTCTCATTAGAACACTGCTTGATCTCATTGATCTCGCGTGCTTGCGATAATTTAATGTGCTCGCGCAACCCCTTCGCTGCTGGCAAATCAAGCGTAACGTGTTCATTAGAGTGTTCATTTAGATTCGATAGAGTTTTTACGAGTAAAAACGGGTTTCTTTGCGCACAACGATAATTCGTCGTAACTTTTTTACGGGAAAAGAATAGGAGAGGGTACGTCTGGAAAAAAGTGAAAGCCTCAGCGTTTTCTTATTCATGAACCGGTGCCAAAGAGTCGAAATCGATATTCTTATCACTTGGGACGCCCTTCTTTAGAATGAATCGCCTTTACGACAACTATGCTGTCTAAAAAGAACGAATATTCGCTTCCTCGCAGTTCCTGTACAATTTTCCAACTCTAGAACCCTTCATTTTTCTAACGTTTTTTCCAAATGTTTAGAAAGGAATGCAAATTTTCTCGTCGGACTTGTTAATTACGTCTTTGTATCTTTAAATTCTCTCGGGTCTTGACAAGATCGACGGAAAACTTCATTATAATGCGAAGTAAGGAACGAGCGTGTGGACGGGTTGAATCAGTAGCAGCGGTAGCAGCAGCAGCAGCAGCAGCAGCAACAGCAGCAGCAGTAGATGCAGCGAAGGGGTTGAGGGCAAACTGCAATTACCTACGCCTCATTCGTGGCACCTCGCGCGTGTGTATGTGACCAGGTATCTTGGATCCGAAAAAGGGACCTACACATCCTGACGTCCATGTCGGTGACTTACACGAGCGACGCAAGATTTACGGTAGTCGGCAATCCGGAGACCGACGACTGGAATCTGCGAATAGCTTACGTGCAACCGCGGGACGCCGACATTTACGAGTGTCAGGTTAATACAGAACCGAAGATATATAGAGCCGTGGAACTGAAGGTTTTGGGTGAGTTTCCTTACGAGAGGCGAGAGAGGCGAGGCGCGCGCGTCTTCGCGAGACCCATAAATCGCGCTTAAAGATCTCCCCGGGCGTCTTTCGCCGTTCGCGACCCGGCCCGGCCCGGCCCGGCCAGTAGGAACCAATTGTTTTAACTTATCCCCTCCCTCCCTCCTTCCCTTTCTGATCATCCTACGATCCTACGGTGATCACGTCTCTCGCGAATCGTCGACAACGACCACGTCGACGACGATTCGCTGAGCTTTTCGAAATGAAATAGAATCCATTTTCCAAGGTAGAATCCGACGTGGACAGTAATACAATCTCGCGTATCGTTTCTCGAGTGTAATAAAGCCAATCGCGAGAGCACAAGCGATGCGCTCTGCTTCGATTTTTCATTCTTCTCCTCTTCTCGTCGTTATTGCTGTTTCTATCAGATATACAGGCAAGGATCACGCCTTCCCAGGAGTTATACATCAAGAAGGGCAGCACAATCAGCTTGACCTGCACTATAGAGCTACAGGATCTGCCTCCGAGCAATGTGACCTGGTATCATGCCGGTGCGGTGATCGATTTCGATGGTCCAAGGTACAGTCGGAAACACTCGGTGATTATACCTTTGTGAAATACACAATTAGCTGATGGAATTGTCGCTCGAATGGCACTAATATCGCGGTGGAACGAACAATCGTATCTAATCGGAGTAATCTCTCCTTTCGCGTCGCTTTCGAAATCGCTTCTGCTCGCACGCAAAGCCATATATATATATATATATATGTATACCAGTAAACATTACTTACAATTAGTTTTCGACAGTTTACGCCAATTCTGATTATCTCTATTCTTCAAGAATCGTTGTTATGCTAATGTCGGTATAGCGGAGTGAATTTTAATGCGATCGATCGGAAAATTTTGAATTGACGCCGGATTGGCGAAACGGGATGACGCGATCCGCGTCAGACGTCGAGATAAACGCGAAGTAAACCACGCGTATAAGCGCGCGCGCGCGCACACACACACACACACACACACACACACACACAGATTTTGATGAAACTTTCGCAAGTCAGTTCTCTCGGAAGTAACGCTCTTACGTGTTACGTTCGACAGGGGTGGCGTATCGCTGGAGACGGAGAAGGGTAAACGTGGTACCACCAGCAAGCTCCTAATAACGCGTGCTCAACTTAACGATAGCGGTAATTATACATGCGCTTCGAG